GGGAGGGGGGGGGGAGGAGAGAGAGAGACGCGCACAAGAATAAAATACCCTAGCAGTCAGTCTTCCACACAATTTCATTCAGAAGATGCTTATACAATATAAATCCATATAATCATACCTCTGTGTCTTTTCTTTCAAATTCTGGTCCAACAGCCCATACTTCAACAAGGTCTATTTCAAAATATTTTGTGGCAGATAACATTTTGTAGTTCCTGTATGTAGTACATGTTTCACTGCAGTGACCTTTTCCAAACTCTGCATCAAGCCATATGCCAAAATATTCAAACTGTCCACCCAATCCCTGCAACAGAAATACAGTCAGCACAAACAGGAAACAATAGCAATGTCTCAATTCACGACACATGAGCATATACACCAAGCACTGGCCACATACAGATATTGCTGTCTGCTTTTCTCAGACACTGAAACTGCCCCTCTGCTTCTTTGCAGATGTTGCATGTTTCAAAAATATTTCTAGACAAGCGAGAAATATGTTATCTCAAAATATTAATTTCTCTTAATGCTGTCTTTCAGTTTCTGAACTGGAACTGCAAATTTTTCAAAAACATATTGTCCATCATTGTGCTTAATATGTAAAATTCACATGGACATAGGCCTGGTGATTGAGAAGGCCACAATCCACGACATAACCCACTTTCTGAACACTTCAGCCAGTGGTCACAAACAACTAATCAGTGTGCACTATAGCACCCTGCCTCAATCGACTAAAATTAACCACAGCTTCACAAGGAACCAGAAATATAATGGATAATAAACTCATGACAAATTTACAAATTGCAAATATTCAGAAGTTTACCTAACAAAAGACTACTACTGTATATCCAACACATTAAAGCCTTCATTTTGACTACCTATCATATGAAGTTATACATACTCTCTTCAGTTAAACTCAAATGTGACACTTACCAAACCATTTGGCAGTGTCTGCTGTTGAATATTGAGGTACTGGTAGTGACTGTTATAACCTGTTGAGTGACAAACCCTCATTTCTGGATACAGGCTGAACAAGAAACTCTTTTCATCTCCTGTTATGAAAAACAAAAATACATAATACAAATAAATAAATTTAACGAGCCACTTTTGAAAACAACATTTTATGAAAGTAGCTTCTAGTAAACAAGTCCCAGAATGAATTCATTTTGTGATAAACAATAGTATATGGAATATTTAGTAGTCCTAATGATACCATCCCATACAAGGTTCAGACAAATGCACAACCAAAAATGTTTAAATAAATAACCATCATTACACAATACAACTCAATGGTAAATGCAGTCACAAAGATCAGGGGACAGCATGCCAAATATGTGTACTTTCTAGACACATATAGGCCTATATTCTCATTTTGCACCCCTCATGAAAAGCATACGCATATAATTTTTTCAACTCATGATACACACCATTTCATATTAATCCACATTCTCTGAACTCAATTTGGAATGTGCACACTGATTAGAGAATTTACAACATTCCATTTCAACAACACTAATGACTTTGGTACATTCATTCACCAGAGCACACATCCCCAAATATGGTGATTTACTGTAACATATATATGTTACCAGCAAACTATGAAATCCAGCAATGTATAGAATACCTAAAGTCAGTAGGCAAAGTATGAAATTCAGGCAAAATGCCTAGAACTTTTAGTCAATGTAAGAAACTAACAGTTTATTTTATATATAGAATACCAAGGAATTTTATAAAATCCCTCTGATTCTTTAGGCAAAGTATATAACAAAGAAATTTCTATAATATGATTTATACAGTTTTATGTTATCTTTTATATTTGGAAAAACTTAATATAAAACAATTGTTTTTAATTTTCAAAACTTTTGTTGTGTTCAGATTCAGTAGCTCAGTGTTTTCGCGACTATTTTGCACAACCTCCATCTTGACAGCTTACCCAATCGACTTTGATTAATTTTAATTAACACAACCAAACAATATTAACATTACAATTTATTTCATACTTTGCCTACTGACTTAGGCATTCTATACATTGCCAGTAACATATACATGAAGCTTACCTCGGAAATTTGGACCAACAGTCCAACTTTCTGAAGCATATCCTCCAAACACATTCTTCTCTTTGTCCTTCACAATAATCACTGTTGGTCCTTTATCCACAAGAAGTCCAAGCATTTTTGCAAAACTTTCTCCATGAATCCCTGTAGAAAAACAGAACCTCCACTGTTGTTGCATTGCTGATGGTAACAATGAATTCAAAAACAGCACATCTGGGATTTCCAACACTGATGAGAATACCTGCTTATGTTGTGGTGGTACGCCCTTGCACATAGGGAAGAGACAATACTCTGCCACTTCATCACCATATGACACATGTTCCTGTGGTATGTGGTATAAATGAAACAAAAGTGCTGTTTGAATTTTCTGAAATTGTGAGCACAAACCAAACCATATTTCAATATTTTCTTCAATGTTCTCTTCTTCCAGGTCTTGGCACAGAGACTTTGTCATTAGAATCACTTTCCAATCTGACATTTCAACGCCCAATGTCCTCCAAGATTTCAACACTGCATGATCTGTTACTGTTAGAATTATTACGTAAGATGATATTATATTCTTCACATACTGAAAAAAGACACAAAATATACTAATTCTTTAGGATTCAAATAACACCATATAAACTTAATAATTTCATATACTAATCCCAAGTGTATGATAAAGATGATAAATACAAACAACAAATGTTTTATTATACTGGGAAAGTACAAAGCATACAAATTCACAAATATTTCAAAGTGGCATAAACAAAGCAACATAATGATTTTCTAAAGATTTTTCACAATAACTGATTCACTATATGAACACAATGCTGGACACTGTCCACGGAAGTACATCTGATATACTGGGTCTGATCCCAGCCATTATCAACACCAACACCACCACCACCACCACCACCAACAACAACAACAAAATGTGATTAAGAAGGAAGCAGAGATCTTGAAATTCAAGGACCTTCTCATAGAAATACAGAGAATGTGGAAAGTGCAAGCAAAAGTAATCCCAATAGTTATAGGAGCAACAGGAACTGTCTCCAGGTCCCTCAGAAAATATTTGGCAAACATCCCGGGCGAACACGACATCAGGGAACTGCATAAGACCACCATTTTGGGAACTTCATACATCATTCGAAAGACGCTGTCATAAATTAAAATTATATAATACATGCAGCACTTGCTAAAAACAATGATGTATCCCAGAAATAGCTGCTGCCCTATGTACCTTAGGGACAAGGTCTGTCTCAGGTACATGGCAGTACATACCCAATAAAGTGGTGAATAGATGGGATAATAATAATAAAGTCTGTATAATGACAATAACCTAAAAGCAGGAGTACATCAAATATACCTCAGACAATGGACAATGTTCAACATAGTGTTCCTATAAAGCAATATAAAAAGACACTCACCTCCATTAAAATACTGAAGGTCAGCACACCATCACTGCTGTTTTGTTTCAGCAAAGAAACAATAAATTTTACCTTCTCACCACATGGATCTTTAGCTAATTTAATAAACAAACTTATGAATGTGTCAAAGGGGACTGGACTTTTTGGATTGTTTTTGAAAAAGTAGTCCTCAACTAGTGCCAGAAGTCCATTTTCCATACGATCTTGCCAGTGTTGCTGTTGAAAGAAATATTAGCATTCTGATAATTATTGAAATGTGGTTGTGTGTAAAACAGACATAAGAACAGAAGCAAACATCACAGATAGAGGTACCAAGCATCTTTCATAATACTGAATGCAAACTGTACACAGATCAATAAATCCACATAGGAGCAGCCTGTTTACCGTTTCGAAAAGGATATAATAAATAAATGACATACATACAAAGAATAGTATTCAATTCATACTCTGCATATTGTGTGCATCTAAATCATTCTAACAACCTTAACCTCTTAAACTGTCACTAAATTTTAATTTTACTTATTGTAACTAAACTTAACTGATCTTTATAACATACCTTCACCCATCATTTTAAAAGTTGAGCACATTCTCCATATTTTGTTACCTTCTCTCCCCTAACAAGCAAGAAGGAAAAATAATTTACTGCTTATAGTATTAGAGTTATTCTCAAGAAGTTAACTTTTCCCTGTCATACAGTTATGTGCATGTCCTGCTATATTTGCTCCATGACTATATTTGTAAATGAAAGAAAATTCGCATTTCATTTGCATCATATATACAGGTCCAGCAAAAATACCTGATTGTTTTCAAAATGACATTACTTTGGATGTTTCTGCTGGATCTTGTATATACAAATCATGGTGAAAGGGTCACATAGGATACAACATTCTCCACCACTACAGACTGTTGGCCATCTGCATTCTACGCACATTAAAACAACAGTGACATAAACCAAACTACTGGTCATCTAACCTGTGGAACAAAACTTAATTAACATGTCAACCAATACTATTCCAGTATTTGGATACAGAAATATGGGAAAATCGCAATATGAAAAATGCCAGAAAGATGCATCCGTAAGACAAGCAAAGATCTGAAATATTTCCGTGTCATAATTTAATACTTGCATTCAAATCTTCCTTATGACACGCTGAATGGTCACCGCACACAGACTTAAAAAACCTACGTAAGCATTGCCGCTCTTCTTGTGATAACATCGTCTGTTCCGAAATTTCAGAACTCTCTTTACACTTGTTATTACCCATTTTACATAAATAGTCAATTACAGATTATTCTCTCGACAGTTCCGAACTTCACTACTCTCCATTACACATACACTACTACGTATAATTTCAGTTACTGTACCACGTATAATAAAGAAAATTAAGCGACAGATTATCAAACAAATTCCAACGATAATCACATCTTTTCCATGGCTAACCTATCTATTTTGCGAAGGTGACGTACTTCGTAATTCATTATTAAAAAGTTACTGGACTGATGACGGCTGTCTTCTGATTTGAAGACAAAGCCATCCTGCTACATGCCAATGTTAGCACTTACAAGTGCACAAGTGTCATAATTTCAAATAAAAATTTTGATGATTTCTGTTCAACATCAAACATAGTTCTGTCTCGTATGAGTAAATGGTTTACTGCTAACACGCTGGCCCTAAATCTAGATAAAACGAATATAATAAAATTTATAACAAATAACTCTCCACAATGTGCTTTAAGTATTGGTTATAATGGGAAGTATATACAAGAGTCAATAAACACAAAATTCTTGGGTTTGCAAATTGATAATCACCTAAATTGGACTAATCATATTGATAAACTGATACCTAAGTTAAGTGGCG